CTGTATGTATGTATGTATGTATGTATGTATGTAGGTTTGTATGTATGTATGTATGTATGTATGTAGGTATGTATGTATGTATGTATGTATGTAGGTATGTATGTATTGTGTACACGTATATAATTTGCATAGACATGCGTGTGTACACAGGTGTACACCCGGCATGGGCCTAAGCTGCTCCCCAATCGAGCCCTGAACCCGAGGCCCCTCCCCTAAACCCTACAGCCTAAACCCTAAACCCTAAACCCCTAAACCCCTAAACCCCTAAACCCTAAACCCCCTCAACACTGAGTTTTGCGAAGGTCTGAGACGATGGAACATGGCTTCCTCGCAGCTTGGCATGGTGCTGGGTGACCTGAGACACCCGAACCCCAGTTGGAGGGGAGCAAAGGCATTGGCAGACACGTGCTGCGATGTTGACGATGGTGATGAAGATTTCGACGATAGTTGCAATGCTTGTGCTGGCGGCGGCGATGATGATGCTTGCGCCGGTGATCTCAGTCCGGGGCGGGGAGGGGGGTTGTGCTCGTGTGCGATTATTCTCACGGTTGTTAGAGGTTGTTAGCATGACGTTAGTTGCGAGCTTTGTCGGGTTTCCACCAGCTCCTTGTGGGTTAGCATGGCTGCTGAGAGCCTCATGCCTGTTTGGTCGCGCGTGCTTTTGCAACACTCTGTTCATCACATGCGCAGTCGTATTTCCGCATGTATCTCACCAGTCGGTTTTCGCCCGAGACCACGGCTTAGGTTGGGGTTAGGGTTGTCATGCGGTGGGCTTTGGAGTTTCCTAAGCCTGTAGGGGGCCGCCCGGTGCTTCGTTGCGAGTCAGATAGTCTGGCCTCGCTGTGCTAGTGACTCTCCGGGACTTTCCTTGCTGTTTTGCTCCTGAGTTGTCTACTCGTTGCTCTAGTTCGTAGTGTTGCCGTTGCCACTTGTATGGATGTGTATTCTATGTTGCTTCTTCTGTTGTGATTGATATGATTGCAGTGATTGTGATGGTCGGTTCGGGCTGTGCGACGCGCTGTTACAGCTTAGCTAGGCCGAACAACTATATTCAACCATAGTCCACAACCCCCAGGCCCTCACGCTGGCCAAGGGTTCACGCCTCCGCTGGCCCTTCAGGGGAAAGGAAATCCCGGAAATCTGAACCCGGAACTCTCTTCTCCGTCCCAAGCCCTCCTTCCCCAAAACTCCCGGAAGCACAGACCCTCAGCCCAAAGCCCTCCATGGAGAGCGCGACCTTCCTGAACGCATCCATAAGCCTTGGTCGCCATGTTTTGGGCCCCCGAAGCTCGGATTTCGATGCAATCCCACAGAGGTATTAGGGTTTAGGAGCCTAAACCCTAAACACTGAACCCTATTCTTGGCCCAAGATGGCCACAAATGCCTACCCGCCAGGGTTGGAGCCCTAAACAAAAAAACCTAAACCCTAAATAAATCCTGAGCCCTAATGTAGGGGCCTTAATGATAAGAATTGGGTTCTTGGGGCATCTACAATAATTATACTACGGAACCCCCCCCAAAAAAAAAATGGCACAGGTGATTTTATTTGGGCCCCTACATGAAACCTTAAACCCTAAACCCTAAACCCTAAACCCTAAACCCTAAACCCTAAGCCGTTAAACCCCCAGGCCTCCTTCCTCAACGTCTTCGCGCACAACTTCGACGAGCTCTGGACTGCCGAAGGCGAACAGGGTTCGTGTTGGGTTTTTGGGTTCTGGCTTTAGAGGTTTAGGGTTTTGGGTTTAGGGTTTAGGGTTTAGGGGTTTTTGGGTTCTGGCTCTAGAGGTTTAGGGTTTAATTCGGGTTTTTGGGTTCTGGGTTTAGGGTTAGGGTAATGGGTATTTTGTTTATAGCGTCTCTACGGCCTTATCTAAGTGGTTTAGGGTTTCGGGCTTGGGGTAGTTCAGGGTGTAGGTGGGAGGATTAACAGAAAAGGTTTATAATGTAGGGGCCTTAATAATTAGAATAGGGTTTTGGGGGCTCCTTATTATAGATATAGTAGAATATACCCCAGACCCTATTCCAATTATTAAGGCCCCTGCATTACATGGATCTTCGAGTTCCGGGATTCGGGATGTTTGATGTCTGAAGGTTCAGGGTCTCTGAGTTTTGTTTGGAAGGCCGGTGGTCTCAGGATAGTTTTGAGCAGTCCTCCTGGGCCAGAAGCCGTATGTCCTAAACCTACCCTAAACCCTAAACCCTAAACCCTAAACCTAAAAACCTTAAATTCTCATTGGGAGAGAACTGCATGCTAAGTCCTGACTTCAATCCCAAGTCATAGCCCACTGCATCCCAAATCCTCCAAGAGTCCCGTGTCTTGGTGGGACTCTATGAAAAGGCTCAAGGACGGCAGGTCGGAGGGGCACCCGAAAGCCCCATTTCAACCATTCAGGCCCCGGCACACTCAGTCTTGTGGAGTGAGCCTTGCACCCAACGCCGAAACCCCGAAGACCCTAAACCCTGAAGCCCAAACCCCCGTAAGCCCTCAACCCTAAACCCTAAACACACCGCCAACGGATCCGCTGCATCATGTGGTTTTCTCACCAGGTTATGAGGATAGGACTAAGTTCACGAAGTCGCAACATAGAGGACACCCGCAACGATACTGGTTAAACCTTAATCTTGAATACGCCCTATCCTGCAAGATTACATAGATCACACCGCCGAAGACCCCACTGAACACCGCAAGGACCTGTTAGGGTTAAAACAGATAACCCACACCAGCCCTCAGTTTCGACTGCTCCTCGAGGTTGTGCCGACGCGCAATCGGGCTTGTTAAGAAGGCATGTTCACAAACTCTCGTGCGCATGGCAGCCGTAAAACCCTAAACCCTAAAGTCCCTAAACCCTTAAGCCTAAAGCCGTGCACCCTGAACCATCGAAGCCCCGAGCCAAACGTCCAAAGTTTCCAAAGCCCTTAACCGTGGCTCCCTACATCATACTCCCAACACCTACTTGCCCCCTTAAAGGCCCTAATCCTTGAAACCCTAAAGGACTAAAGCCCTGAACCCTAAAGCCTTAAAGCCCAAACCCTTAAAGCCTGAAGCCCTAAGCCCCACAACCCGAAACCCCAAAACCCTAAACCCTTACAGCCTAAAACCCCAAAGCCCTAAAACCCTAAAGCCACAAACCCCAAAACCTTAAAATCCCGAAACCCTTATAAATCGCTTTAATGGGACCCGTAAGGAACCCGAAGCCCTAAAAGCCTAAACTCCTATACCCTAAAACCCTGAAACCCTAAATCCTAAACCCTAAAACTCTGAAGCCCTAAAACCCCAAACCCCAAAGCCCTCAAAACCCGAAAGCCTTATAAATCGCTTTAATGGGACCCTTAAAGCAACCCGAAACCCTAAAACCCTAAACCCTAAAACCCATAAAGCCCTAAACCCTAAAGCTCTAAAGCCCTAAACCTTAAAACCCTAAATCCTAAACCCTAAAACCCTGAAGCCCTAAAGCCCCAAACCACCCTAAAAACCCGAAACCCTTATAAATCGCTTTAGTGGGACCTGTAAAAGAACCCGAAACCCTAAAACGCTAAACTCCTAGACCCTAAAACCCTAAACCCTAAAACCCTAAATCCTAAACCCTAAAACCCTGCAGCCCTAAAACCCCAAAAAATCTAAAACCCTAAAACCCTAAACCCCTAAATCCCAAATCCTAGACCCTGACACCCTAATCCCCCAAAAAGGCCCCGCAGCTGATTTGCCAAAACCTCCTGGCGCCGAAACCAGCGCGGGACGTGGGCCCCGCAGCTGCAAAAAAGGTTTAGGGTTTAGGGTTTAGGGTTTTAGGGTTTAGGGTTTAGGGGTGTAGGGTTTAGGGCTTCTAGAAGATCCTATAAGGGGTGATTAAAGAGGGGGTTATTATAAGAGTTATTTGAAAACGGGGGTTAACGATTAATATTTATATGAGGGTCATTACGAGCAGATATTATAAGGGTTGTTTTAGGCGCTTCGCGTCGCCCGACTCGGCCCACTGTACTGGAAGAAGGTGCATTTCGGAAAGCAACAGGTAGGTCACGCAGGTGAGGTCTCGCGTGAAGGAGTGCATACATTCTCATTGCAACCTCCCATATGTTGAAGGGGAATGGGGAATCAAGCTTTGCAACAAAGTACCCCAGAATTCCCACGCTTTGGCATCAACTTCACGATTGTTGTTAGCTAGCCTGTCTTGCTTCGCTCACAGCAAGGAAGAGAAAAGGGACTGTGGGGTAAAGGGGCGGGGTAAAGCAGAAACAGTAGGGCTTGTCAGCCTCAAATCCAATTTTGAGGGGTGCGGGTGGCTTCGATCAGGGGGGTGGGTCACTGGGGAGGGATTATGAGGTGGGGAAACGGGGAATTACCGTGGGAACCTCTGACCGCTTCGGTCGGGACCAATGCGAATTGATTGTACCCTAAACCCTAAACCCTAAACCCTAAACCCTAAACTCTAAACCGTTTGGGGGTTGAGGGTTTGGGGTCTTTGAGCTTCCGGGGTTTTGGAGCCTTCAGGGCTGAACCCCCAAATCTCCCAGACACTTCCAAGTTCGTGGTGTAGGGAGGGTGTGAGGGTTTAAGGTTTGGGGGCCTGTTCTTTTGAGAGAAAGCTCAGAAAGGCCAGACCTCAGGGTCATAGCTGGACATAGCCCGAGAAGGTCGTCTGTCAGTCTGCTGTCGTTGTAACCCCAGGGTTTAGGGTTGAGGGTTTTGGGCTATATAGGGTACTAGAGCCCCTGGGGCCCTTCATAGTCTGAACCATCACAAAGGATCAGCTATGCGGAAACCCTGACGCAGACCTTGACAACTAAGTTTCTTCGCAAGATCTGTCAAGCTCACTTGCTACATCAGTGTAAGCCCGCGGCCAAACCCCAGACCCACAGCTAAACCAATCAACCCCAACTCGTCAAAGTCAAAAACCCCAATCCCGCAATCCTAAAGCGCTTACCCTAGAACCCCCCCTCCAAAAACAAAATACCAATCCCCTACAGTAACCTCTCCCAAAGTAGAAGCCTGACACTTCGGTCGTCATCGTCCTCATGCCCGTCAAGGGACAGTATCAGAGTCTCAGTAATTACTCATCACCCTTGATCCATGATCCAAATTTCGAGGCTTTGTTGTACAGCTTACCCTCACCTCCTGAACCCGAAGCCACGAACCCCCCAATCCAACGCCCAAACTTTGAACCCTAACTCCCGAAGCCTAAACCCCAACCTGAACCATTCGAGCCCTAAGCCCTAAACCCAAACCCCAACCTCAGCAGCAATGCAGGAGCCAGTCTCGGGAGCTCCTCAACGAGCGCTTCCTCGTGGAGCTAAGAAGCTGGATCATCGACCGGAAGGAATCCACGGTGTTGGGGTGTAATGTAGGCCCTTAATAATTACCTATACTATTTTGGGGTTCCTTATCATAGTTATAGTATAGCGGGCCCCAAAAACCTGTTCTAATTATCAAGACCCCTAATTTACTAGGTTTCAGAGTTGAAGGGTTTGACGGTTGCGGGCTTGAAGGTTTTTGGAATGTTGCAGTTTCGGGATTGGGATCTATACAATCATAAACCCTGTGCCACAAGCCAAGCCATTTTTATTTGCAACTTCTACCAAGCCCTGGAAGGATCGGCTGGTCTGGCCCAAAGGGGGCGATGACGAGGAGGTGCCTTCCCTGCCTGTACGATTTCCGTTGCTCTTTTTTTGGGATGCGTTCGTTTCCATGCGTTGGTTCTGTCGGGTACTTGGTGTTGCAAATGCTGATACTATCGTAGTTTCTTTGTTGCTGATCTGCTGCTAAATCGCCAAATCTAGTCTTGCACACTTCTACGATCAAGGCAACTCTTCCTGCCGGTGACGACGACTTCTACTGCCATTGCTGCTGCAACGGCAACAACAACAACCACTGCTGCTGCTCGTACTACTACTGCTGCTACTACTACGACGACGACGACTACTACTACTACTAGTACTGCTTCCACTACCACGACTACCTTCACCACTACTACTACTAGTACTACTACTACTACTACTACTACTACTACTACTACTG